GCACCTGGTCCTAGTATTATGGTCTTGTACACCCCCAGGCCTCCCCAGCCCATTTTTTCTCCAGTAGTTCCTGTCAGAAAACACTGGATGGCCTTTTCTACAGCCTCACGTGCCTATAGTTACTCTCAGCTTTGAATTAACTGATTCCTCTATTAGCTTTCCTCATACTGTGGTGGTGGTGTGTTTTTTTTTTTTTAATTGATGTAAGGTTAATTGGTTCATTAGATAGCCGTTCCTGTAATTTCAGTTTTAAAATGATTCCCGGGCTTGGAATGCGGAAATACTTTATTGTGTTGGGGTAACAGTTTCCTGCGTGCCTCTGTAATGCATGGCGCTCGCCCTGCTGTCTCAGACAGCTCAAGTGTGATTGAGTAACTAGAGCCAGTTGAAACCTGTTGTCGCCTTCCAGCCTTGTTCTTCGTTTCTAAATTTCCTTCCTCCTTTTCCTCCTGAATCCCAAAAGGCTTTATTAAGACAGCTTTGTGGGAACCATTAACTCTAAGCTGCATAATTATGTTACTATGAGCTTTGACTTAGTTTATAGTAGGAAAAAAAAATGCATGCATCTCTAGAAATGTATATTCCTCAAAGACAGAATTTTAAGTTAGTAAATTAAAAGGTTTATTCAATTTACCTAGGAAGTTACAGTAATTAACAGCAAGAGAGTTTACCTGCAGAACTACTAAATGCAATAAAGTAGGTTCTGTGAAAACATGACACTAATGAGCTGCCATGTTATTATGCTTGTTCCTCACTTTCCAAATTGCACATGAGACTCTCATGTACTTCAAGAAAGGGATGGTGTTGCTGTTTAGCTTGCTTTGTTTACAAGTGGGGACCAATATTTAGCATATTTGTCTTTATTTAGGGATGCGTTTTATGTCATCCTTGCACAGCTCAGAATTGCATGGATTTGTGATGCCAGAAATCAGGCCAGGATACTTTTTTCCCCTAAAATTTTTTTTAAGGCTTATGTACAAAGAATAGTGCAGTTAAGCTAATCCTCATGCCAGTATTTGTGTGGTACTGTCTGACTTCGCTCTCACTGTTGCATTTTTAGACCACCTAATGACAGGCCACCTCCCTTCCCCTCTCCCTTCCCTGTCATCCCCAGCACACCCCGTTACTAAACGGGGCAGACTCCGCCCCAGCATCCGACAGCATGTTCTTCTTCCTCGTCATCCTCACAGTGCCAGCTGCAATAGCTGGTATTGTATCTGCTGATTAGGAGGCAGCATGAGAAACAAACCTTTCCACCGTCTTTTCACCCTGAAAGGCCCAAGATGTTTTTAGTGATCTATAACAAATACTCAGGTTTCTGGGATGCAAGAACAGACAAGCTGCGTTTTTTCAGATTTTGGTGGTGCACTTAAGCGCTGGCATCCTTGTTTATGTTACTCCAGTTGAAAAAATGGGCTGGGAGGGGGAGGAGCGGGGCTTTATCTATTATTAGCGTTTTGACTTTTTTTATAGGACTAACCTAGGCACTCACACAGTTAAATTTGCCTCGTATGGTCACTCTGCCACAGAGAGAAAAACTTCAGAGCAAAAAAAATTCAAGTCTTAAGCTCTGTCCGTCACCATGACAGCTATAGACCATGTGTTCCTTTTTTCCCAGGGGGAAAAAATTGGCACCTACCCATCAATTAACTGTTTTTAATTTTGGCATTTTTTCCCCGATTACTGAGCCCCAGCAACTTGTGAGTGCAGTCAAAGATCAATTTAATTTTATTAGCATTGGATATTTAGTCCTTAGCGCTAATTGGCTGTAGATGAAAAGCTGATCAGTCTGGTCGGTTTGGATGTGGCTTTGCAGTTAGGGGTATGATTTCACTGTGCCTGTGCTGTTCAGTTTATGCTGTGTGATGCTCTCTGCTTTGGCTTATTTTTAACCCTGGCAGCTTCTAATAAGTGTCAAATAAGCAGCTTCTAATAAGCTGCTTAGAAGCTGTTTCCAGTAAGTGTCTTTGCTTTGCGTTTTGCATCCCCGAAGAATTACACACTAGTCTTTTCCTCTTTTTCTTAAAGGTTCTCAAGCTGGCCATATGTATAGCTGTAGCTTGCCATTCTGGAGTTAGCAGTAAACCAAGGTATTAACACTTTTAGAAGATTTGTTTTTCTTTTTTTTCTGAAAACAGAATTCAAACATTTTGTCATCTCAGATTCTCTGCGAATGCAGCCTATTCTCTCGTAGACAATCACTTTAAACTGTTATTTTATGCAGTGTTTTTTCTTTTACAGTCTTTCAGCCATCACTTTAAGAGTGCTTCTGAAGAGTGGCAGTGGTAACTGGCATTTTTTTCCCTTGTCAAATGCAAATCTCACACCTCCCAAGTGTGAACATACAAAGCTCTCTTACTATTTTTTTTTTTAATAAAAAAATTAGGCCGTAGTTAGCTAAGCAGAGTGACCTGATTCGTGCTGGATCAACATGTTATCAACTCGAGGTTGTCACTACAAAGTAAGTGTGGTGAAGTCTGCCTGTTCCAACTAAAATCAAAGCAGTCTCTTGACATACAGCAGTGCTGAAGTCAGCAGTTTCTGCAAAGCGGGTCTAAATGCAGATTGAAGGATCTCTTCTGTGTATATGTGTAACTACCAGTGTCAATCTAATTATTTATAATCAAATACTTTTTGTTGTATTTTTACTCAGGAGGACATGAAAGAAAACAGTTCTAAGTGATTTTTTTGTTGTTCTTGTTGTTCTTTGGCTTTTCCTTACCTATAAAAGATTTGGCTTTGTGAGGTGTATTTAATGTTTTCTCTAAAGTAGGCCACCTGAGAGATCCCATGGAGTAATTCACTTTGCTGAGTTAGCAGACAAGGCCATTGGACAGAGTCAAAAAAGATAGTGCAACTGTGAAGCAAATGAATCAATACCAGTGCAACTGGATCAGTTTGCTTCTTCTGATAGGAGAAATGCAATAGCACAGATGCAGTATCTGACATACAGATTTAAAAAACAAATATAAACACACACACACACACACACACATTGGGTTGGCTTTTATTGGAAAGCCTAGATGCAATCTATAGTTATCAATTTGTGGAAAATTCAGGACACATATAAAGTTAAGAAGGCAAATTAAAAGAACAATACAAATCAGACGAAATATACATCTCAAAATATCAGGATAGCATTTTGACTGGCATTGCCTAAAATACTTAGAATCTCCTTTCTTTTTTGTAATATGCTTCTTTTAATTATGCATATTTTTTCGTTAAAAAGATCTTTTGTTTATATATTCCCCAAGGTCACTATTTCCTGCAGGAACATGTTCAGATCACAAGTCTTTTAGCAAGAAATAGGCTCATTATACCTACTAACAAGGCCACTAATTGGCTTGATTTGACTTTATCTAAAATGATCACCAACAGATACTATAATTTGTTGTTTATTGGTGCCAGAACAAAGGAGAAGGAACTGGTACGCGTCAAGTAGAAGATATATTTCATTGTTGACATGTTATACAAGCTTTTCATATTCAAACAGAACAGAAACATTTGACATAATTTAGAATATGAGCCTATTTCAACAGAGAGCACTTACAGCATGCTAAATACAGTGCTGTGGAAGAGCCACCCAACAGAACTGCAAACACCTAGCATTTTACATCTTTAAAAAGAATATGGAGGTCAATGACACGCCTCTGGGGTCTGACATATCATCCTCTCTAAATTTAGGGCCCTTAAGACTTCAAGGGTAAAAATACTAACAACTAATCTGTGCTTTCATTCTAATAAATGATTAGCATTCATTATATGTGTAATTAGTTCTGTATGCTCTACCAAATACACACGTACAGTAACAGCACCGATACTGTAGATTTGGTAGCAACTTGGCGGGGAGAAATTCAAATCTGTTTATCAAACAATCCTAATGTGCAATTTAGAGTATGTCATACCATAGACTCTCAGAATACAAAGCAGTTAGAAAACTATTTTTATTACATCCACTTGAACCATTCATAGTTAAGACACGTTCACTTACTATGTTTTGTCATTATAATACATGGATAGAAATACTGTGTATATTTCAATGAACATCAAAAAACCCCAATTTTGTCTCATCTTAAAAATTTTTATTTTTGTGGCTGAATTTAGTGCTCATGAGAGTAAAGCTCTAAGAATGGTTTCAGCCAAGATGTAGAACAGATGCCATAGATGCCACCACAGGCTTCCTATAAGGAACCAGCTGCACACTTAAGTTCTGTCCTGCAGCAAATACACTGGGCCTTGGAGCAGAGTATACCAAATCTATGCGGTGGTGTGGAGATGCAGACTAGGCACTAGAATTGGACCTTCCTCTCCATCCCCAGGTTCCGTGTTCACAGTAACGGGATTTGATCTGCCAACTGAAGGCCAGGAGATGAACCTACTGAACAGCCTGCCTGCCTGCCTAAAGAGCAATTCTGTAGCATCAGGTCAGAGGTACGCTTCTTCTATCTGGAGTTATTAACATCTAAAAGAGCTGTATTATACAGAAGACAAAGTTGACAGAACTGGATGAAACTACATCATTTCTCCTTCTTCTTCTACATACAATTTGCCAAGCACCTGAGACACTATTCTCTCCATTGTGAAACAAAGCTTCTAAAAAAACAACAGAAACCCCACCTGGTATGAATAAATGTCCATTTATTACGTTAGGGCTGGAAAAAGACAAGGAAAACCCAACCTATTAAAGTCTTCCATCATAATAAACGAGATTTATTTGGTTACTGTGCCTTTTAACAATGACTGATGAAGTGGCACTGGTCTGGGTGACAGGAGAGGTACAGGAGGGGAGGGAGCTGCGGTCTGATTCAGCCAGCCACTTTGGAGTGTCCCATCCTATCAGCAGAGTGATAGATGCACAGCTTTCAACCTAATACAAAAATATTAACACTTTTGGACATTAGTCATCACTGTTATATCTCTACAATATAATCCTTTATACTGTACAGCTATAACATAAAAGGTGCAATTCCCTTTTCTTTAAAAAAATCACACACAGCACATGTTTTTATCGTTTTATTTTTAAGTATAAACTTTTTTAAACACTTTACATAAATTAACTCCTCTGAGACTAATATTTGATGTACAGTAAATTGTAATTCATATAAAAATCCATAAACAACTTGTCTCACATAATTTACAAAAAAATCAGGGTTTCCTTTGCTTATCTGCAACAAGGATTCTACTTGCCATTTTCCCCCCAAGGCAAACCATGTTAGCATTGTAAAATCCATTATTAAATTCCCATGGTAGCTTAAGTCACTTGTGCCAATGTCCTTTTAGAAAGCAGCACAGTTTAAAGCAGTTGGGTTGTCTATAAACAGTAATTTTTGCCCCACGTTTTAAAATTAACAGATATATACCACATCCTATGCAGTGAGAAAGAGAGAGAGAAAGAGAGAGACTACTTCTTGTAAGCAAAGGTCAACAATTCAGTAATATTTGGAAACACTGTATGGGTCTGTTTCTTAATTAAATACAGTGCCTCAAAGGAACAGCCAGCCTGTTGCAAAATCTGTAGGCCTTTTTCTTTTCTTTTTTCTCCTTTAATACTTTTCAGTCCAACTTGAGTGCAGCGATATGCATATGTAAACATATTCTTTAAAGCAGATCACCTTTAAGGTCATTGAGAAAAAAAAAAAAAGTTTTGTCATTAGCAGTATCATTCTTCTGGAAGGCGCTCTTTTCCTTACAGAGTCTGTTCGGATTGTGCTACAGAAAAAATCTGAGCAAAGGTGTAAGCTTAGGCTCAAGTAGTAATGCAGCAAAACAGTTTGGTCTCCTTTTTAGAAGACACTGGTGCACAGTCTCTTTGGCAGCCTGAGCTAAGCCAGTGTGTTACCTCTTTCCTATCTCGCTTTGTCTGAGGAACTGTATGTTGTTAGCGCTGTCTGCTAATTCTGGATATTGCTCCACAGAGAGTACATAGTACCCATCGTATCCTTGTACCTTTCCAGCACTTAGCAACTGCCTCTTTTCTCCTTCTGTCCACAACCGGGCGCCTTCCTCTCCATCTCTTACTCTCTGTTGTTCTCTGGCCCAGGCACTAGAAAGAGCTCTTTGCCTGGCTTGCTCCAGTATTCGGGCCTTTTCCTCATCAAGTGTCATGCCATAGCGGACGTGAAGCGCTAAAGCACCATATTGCATTTCAACATCAGCAAACCTACGAGTCCTGCCGTTTACCACCGTGGTGGACTGGGAAACAGTGACGTTGATGCCGTTCTCCAGGGCCTTCCGCCCACTTGTCAGCCTCAGTGTCCCAAGGTCACTCTCGGGGGAGGTGGTCTTGATAAAATAGTGCGTGTCCTTTCCCTCAACGGTGAAATGCAAGTTTTCTAGGTAGTAGGCGTTGTTCAGAACAGCTGCCACTTTTATGCAGTCCTCATTTGCAATGTTGAGCACGTTTGTTTGCACTTTGCCTTGATTGACAGCGAGCATCACCCCTTTCCCAATCAGAGACTTCACCGTAGCAAACCACAGCCATGACTTCTCTCCACTGGATTTCCGTCTGCTGACCTGCACTTCTGCCATCTTTCCCAGGGAAAGGAAAGCCTTTGCTTGTCTTGCCACTTGTTGTTGCACTCCAGAAATTGGCTGTAAACAAGAACAGACAAAAGTTTTACCAGCCATCTGTAGCCCTCTAGATGCCAAACAGCCGGGCTTTCTTGGTGTGCTGCCCATGGACGACAACAGGATATGCCACAACTGACAGTGCCAAGGAGTTAATTAAATCTACATACTGCTTGTTCTGCTGAATTACAAGACTATTTGGTTTGATAATGTTCAGCGCTTTTTCTCTTTGTCTCCCCGAGAACCTGCACAAAAATAAGATTTAACTTCGGAGGTTACGCACCGGGCTGGACAAGATTGCAGACCTCTGCAATACTAATACTTAATCTGGGTAACAGCAATCTTACTACAGCGTCATCTCATTCTCTGAGCTTGTTCGACTATGATTCCTGTCTACTGTGAGTCCATCCAAATTGAGGAGATTTTTGCAGGTCGTGAAGCTGCGCTTTAGAAAAGGGACAAGCCCTTCTTTTGCTGAGTCAGGAGATGGAGGCTCTCTGGTAGCTGCAGTCTGAGAACAAACTGCAGGGAGGCTCTCATAACCCCTCAAGCTGCAAAACGAAGGAGGGGAATGAAACTGTAATGATAGTCTTTACAGTAAAAGAGAAGGAAGCAAACAGTACAGAGCAGTGAGGTGGAATACGGGGGACTGGTGCCCTTTCTTGCATATACTTGCTGACACTGATAAAAGGGGATGTGTGAAAAGGGTCTGGCCAATTCAGTTGTGTGAGCTTCCATTTCACTGCAAGTACCAGCATGCTGCCTGAAAGAGATTAGCAGCTTCTCCCCCCAGAACTTCGGACGGGTGCAATCCTGAATACAGCAGAGTGCTTTGTTGACAACTAGCAAAGACACGGGGCAATGAATGAAAAGAGCCAACGGGCAAGTCTAAAATACGTTTGCTTGGTATTTCATGTTGTACCGTATCTGGGGTGTTTGTGTTGAAAAGCTAGGTGTGCTGTAAAGGGCAGGGGGAAATAAGAGGTGCAATTGTGAGGTGCGAAAGCACAAGATGGAAAAGCTAGCATAGGAGAATCTGTTAAAGAATTTTATTTTGACTGTTGAGAGCTGTATGTAGCCCAGTATGGCAGATGCACTCTTGGTAAAGAGAGAGGATAGCTGGGGAACAGGACCTGCCAGCACTGCTGTGGTTAGCCA